GATGTGATGGGGTTTCTCACCCTGGGATGCCTGCAGGATGTCAAGCCTCATGCCTGCTGCCAGCCAGGGATTGCTGTGTCCTGGTGGAGCATCTCCTCGGGGTAAGCCCTGAGCCATCTATGAGTGGTAGGAGATGATACATGGGCGAGATGCAGAGCGCCTCAAGGGCATGCTGCCCTTTCAGGGTGCTGCCTGTCCCCGGCAGGGTTGAGACCTGTCACTGAGCACCTGGAGCTGCGCTTGGGTCCCTAAAAACTCAGTTCCTCAGGGTCTTTCCTGGGTTTGATCCCATATCCATAGTACCAAGGAGAAAAGTGTGATCAGGGAGGTCCTGTGCCCTTAAATCTGTGTTGCCTTCAGCAAGTTCTGTTTTCTTCTTCACTTTTCTCCAGCAGCCACCCCGCAAAGAGCAGCTTCTCCCTGGAAGCTTGGCCGGGATGGCCATGTTGTGTAATGGACACCAACTTCCAGCTGTAAACAACATCATTTCTTCGGTTAGACAGGCTTTGCTGCAGTGTTCTTAGGAGCCAAAAGCTGGTTCTCACCCTGATGGCAGCCAAGTGGCTTGTCCTGGGAGCCCCAGTGGAAGGTGGAAACGTGCGCGGCTCCCCCATCCAGCTGCTCACATCTGGGGCTGTGCTGAAGGGCTTGGTGAGAGGCTTTGTTTTGTGTTCTGAGCTCAGCTGGGGCTGCTCCTTTGAGGACATCACTTTGGGGGCTGTTCCATGCTGCCATTTCTGGGGCTGCTTCTTATCCTGGGCTGATCCCAGAGCGTGAGCGGCAGCTCATGGAGGGGATCCTGCCCCTCTGCTGTGCTCTGGGGAGACCCCCCTGCAGCCCTGATCCAGCTCTGGGGCAGCAGCACAAGAGGGACGTGGAGCTGCTGGAGTGAGGCCAGAGGAGGCCATGGGGATGCTGTGAGGGCTGGAGCAGCTCTGCTCTGGAGCCAGGCTGAGAGAGCTGGGCTGGGGCAGCCTGGAGAAGAGAAGGCTCCTGAAGGGGAGACCTGAGAGCAGCTCCAGTGCCTGAAGGGGCTGCAGGAAACCTGGAGAGGGGCTTGGGACAAGGGATGGAGGGACAGGCCAAGGGGAATGGCTTTAACCTGCCCGAGGGGAGACTGAGATGAGCTCTTAGGCAGAAGCTCTTCCCTGTGAGGGTGCTGAGGCGCTGGCACAGGGTGCCCAGAGAAGCTGTGGCTGCCCCATCCCTGGCAGTGCTCAAGGCCAGGTTGGACACAGGGGCTTGGAGCAAGCTGCTCTAGTGGAAGGGGTCCCTGCCTGTGGCAGGGGTTGGGGCTGGAGGAGCTTTAAGGTCCCTTCCAATAGAAACCGGTCTCAGGTGCTATGAGGTGATGATCCCAGGTACATCCTGTGTGTGTTGCAATGCCCAGTGGTCCTGTGCCTCTCCAGCTCCATTATCCTGAGCACCATCGCTGCAGTCAGAAGTAGCTGGCATCACTGCCTCATTGGAGGCAGCAGAGCCAAGGTAAAGACCTGCTCCTTGAGAAAACCAACCACACAGTTGTTCTTGCTAGCTACTTTTTTAATGAATACCTTCCTGCTGTGCTCCCCTCTTTATCAGCATTCAGGTCTTGGGTTGTCTTTTCGCAGCTCAGCTCCTGGTGCTCCATGCAGGGTGTTGGGTGTCTCACCCCAGCGGGTAGCAGGGGTTTATGTTTTGAGTGAGGTAGCTCATCCTTCCTGCTTCAGTGGAAAGGCTGAGCCACCGCAGGTCTCCTGTTCAAATGGATCCCACCCATTGCATGACCATGACTGTGTTCTGCCTTTTCTTCAGTTCCTGATTTATCTGACAGCTGGGACTCACAGCGCACCCGCTGCACAAATTGTTTGTAGCTGATGTCAAGAGCCTTGCCTAGTGCTGTGGGTTTCAAGGAGCTGTTTTCTCTTCACAGTATCGAGGTCTGATGCAAGCAGTGCAAACATCTCCTTTGGGAAGGTCTTGCTGCTCTAATGAGCTAAAGGAGCAAGGTTTGCTTGCTTTAAGCTGTCTGGTGGGCAGATGTGAGGGAGCAGAATCACTCAATGGCTCTGCTGATTAAAAGAAGGACTAAATAAGTTGGAATGCCCAAGTGTCAGGAATATTCTGACTTCCTTAAAGGTTTATCCAGCTGGTGAACTCCCTTTTGTGTGGATCTCAGCTGTTGTATTATGTAAGAGAAATTCCTGACAAAACCACATTTAAAACTGATGCTTGCAGCAAGTATAGCTCAAAAGAGCAAAGGAAGGAAGGTGTTTAAAGGATCTCTGCACAGAGACCCCTGGGCAGTTCACAGCTCTCTAGAACTGGCTGCAGAACCCTAGCTCTTCTGAAAAATAAAGCATTTTGTTACCTTTTCTTTTTACAATTTACTTTTACCTAAAGTAAATTGCTTCCACATACTTTAAATGCCAGATATACTGTATATATTAATATATATCAATATCAATGCCAGATAGATTAGATATATTAATATATAGATATGTTAATAATAAAGCAGAAGTTACACAGGAGGGAGCTCTTTCCCACCAGCTGCGGGCATCAGTGTCATGACTTGATACAATCCCAGACCAGTTCGTGTTGAAAGGGACCTTAAAGCTCCTCCAGCTCCAACCCCTGCCACGGGCAGGGACACCTTCCACTAGAGCAGCTTGCTCCAAGCCCCTGTGTCCAACCTGCCCTTGAACACTGCCAGGGATGGGGCAGCCACAGCTTCTCTGGGCACCCTGTGCCAGCGCCTCAGCACCCTCACAGGGAAGAGCTTCTGCCTAAGAGCTCATCTCAGTCTCCCCTCGGGCAGGTTAAAGCCATTCCCCTTCGCCTGTCCCTCCATCCCTTGTCCCAAGCCCCTCTCCAGGTTTCCTGCAGCCCCTTTTAGGTAATGAACCTCTATTAAACTTTAGGTATCAGACTTCTGCTGCTTCTCCCAGCAACTGCTCTGGGAGAAATGAGCAGCAGTGAATTACCTGTGGTGATGAACTGCTTCTAACGAGCGCTGCGCGTGGTGCCTGGTGTGACCTGGCCGAGCAGCTCTCTCCTTGGCTGCGCTTTGGCCACAGCAGCGCGAGCAGGATTTAGGCTCTATGCCCACTGTGGGCAAGCCACAAGGTTTGGCTGTCCCGGGGGCCATGGCTTGGAGCTGTGCTGGGGAAGGGAGCTCTGGGCAAGTCCTGCTGCCTTCAGCAGGGCCAGGATGCTGCCGTGCTCCCTCCTCCTCAGTGCCCGCTGCCTTTAACAGCAGCGGGAGCAGTGTTTGCAAAGCTGCTGCCGTGCTTGTTTCCTTTGCTGCTTTTAGTAACTTGTAAAATGATTGCAGCCAACGATTTGAATAAACAATGTCATGCAGGATAACCTCAGTCTTGGCAGCGCTAGTGCCTTGACACAAACATCTCGTCAAAGAAATGCTTTGGAAAAGTTTCCTGCCTGCTGGAGGTGGAAGGGGCATCCCTCTCCCGCCCAGGCTGCCTCTGCCCCACTCTAAGCTAATGCAGACATAAACGCCTTCAAAAATTGACTTCTTCAGCATGGAAGGTCCACTGTATGGGACCAGAGCTCTCTGACACCACACTCTGATGGATCCAGGCTGGGTGGCCCTTGTGTTCCACTACAGTGGGAATGAGGAACTCATGTAACAGTGTATGGAGTGCTTGGGAAGCCAGCTGCAGGAGGGCTGCTTTCAGTGAGTGCATGCAAAAGGTTTGTGATTGGCATGATGGAAATGTGGCACCAGCGGGATGGACATCACCACTCCCTGAAGGGCGTGGGATCCCAGCTCCTGCCTCCGGACACCAGGGATTCAGGGCATCCTGCTGTAAACCAGCACCAGAGGGGCCAGAGCCACATTGACCTGTGCTGGGTGGTGCATCCCGGGAAGCACGTGAGTGAGAGAGTCCTGTCCCCCTCCTGGTTTCTCCACAAGGAACAAATCAAGCTGTGAATGCAGTCTGCATCTGGATCCATGTGGCTCTGAGGATTTGGATGGGGCTTGGAGCAAGCTGCTCCAGTGGAAGGGGTCCCTGCCCGTGGCAGGGGTTGGAGCTGGAGGAGCTTTAAGGTCCCTTTCAACACAAACCAGGCTGGGGTTCTATGTGCAGCTTTGCCTGGGAAGCACAGCACACGCGTCCCCAGTGCACAGGCTGCTGCTGCTGCAGAGGTCGCACTCGGGGTATCAGGGTAAAATGTTTAACGCTTATGGACACTCACTGACAGTGTTTATCCTGCAGGAGCCTCTCTGCCGCTCCTGCCAGGGAGCGGAGGCTGGGGCCAGGCGCAGCGTGGAACACGGGGAAGAAGCAGATGTGAAAGCTCAGTGAAACCGATGTGACCCCCAGCCATCCCCATCTGCTTCCTCTGGCCGCCTGGTACCCCAGGGCAGGCTCAGCGCCAAGCCTGCTCTCTGCCACGTGGCCCCGTCCCGCTGCTCCCCTTGGCTCAAGCAACGCGTGTGTCTTTGCAAGGACTCAGGCAGTGGCTTCCTGTGTTGTTAACGGGGGGTACAGGGTCAGCCCCCTTGCACAGGCAGTGCTGCTGTGGATGCTGTGCGGTTCCTCTGCTTTCTGCCTCGGTGTGTTCACATGAGGGTCAGCCCTGCCAGCACTAGCAGCCTATTCCACTCTTTATCGTGTTGGCAAGTGCTGGGACTCCACAGAGCTCATGGGAGTTCTCTCCATGAATCCTTGCACAGAGGCTAGCACGTGTGCACCGAGTACATCTGAGGGGCAGGAGGGGTTTGATCCACCAGAGCTGCAGGAGGGAACTGCAGAGCTATTGGTGGGGTTTGCCTTTTCCTTGCTTGCTGCTGCTCTCTTTTTTTAGGTTGCCTTGCTCCTCTCCTCTGATTTACTGCGTGTGCTCACGTGGCCTTGGAAAGGGGGGTTCTCCCGCTGCTCTGCTTCCAAAAGGAAAAGAAGCTGGCAGGCGTTCACATTGCAGTTCTGGAGTTATGTAGGTTAAAGTCTCCCAGTGGGAAAATGGAAGAGATGCGCGCGCAGATTGCTGGTGGTGACAGCGGAGGAAAGGAGCACGTAACTCTAGAGCTGCACCCAGCTGGACGCGAGCTGTGAGAGGTACGTTTTCTATCTGCCCTTAGAGCACAATCCCCATTGATTTCATTCGATTTGTGGTAAAATGCTTCATTGTGTCTTGAGGAGTAGCAGCAGTGACCAGTTTCAAAGCCGATTCTCAGCCACCAGTTGTTGATGTGCGGAGGGGGGAGCGTGTTTGTCAATGAAAACTTGTTCTCGGGAAGGTAGCTAAAATCAGCTGTGGTGTGGTCCCTCTAGTAGGAATAAGTGACATATGTAATGCTTTGTGACAACTTCTGAGCTTCCGTATGTTAAGGTGAGAGCGAAATGGGGCTTCAGACCCTCTCCTGGATCTTTGTTGTTCCCAAACCAAAACCTTTCCTGTGTTTAAGACCTGTTTGATAACAGAACATGGGTTTGTGATCCAGTTCTGGGGACTTGGAATACCGGCACTCTGCACAGATGTGCATTAATATCCTCCTACTGAACTCTCGTCGTTGAGACAATAGAATCAATCTTTTGCCAGTATATTCAAAGTAGCACATTGCATATTTTGCATCAAGCAAATTCTAAGCTCATAACGGCACATTACTCTGTGAACACAGAAAAATGGGCTGGAAACGATCAATTGCCTTCTGTTCATTGAGAAATCATTGCCCAGCTCTGTTGTCTTGGTCAGAATTCCTGTTCAGAACACTTAAATGCCTGGTTCCATAAGAACTTGACTGAAGGATTTTTCTCTATTATGTAAAATAGAATATCTGGCTCTGATATCTGCTTTATTGCCTCTGAAGTTTGAAATGTGCCCTGCTTGGAGTGCAGACACGAGCTCTTGAACCGGATCGCAGGCACACTCTCCTATTTAGCTGGTTTTTAGCTACGTTTCCACCTCCTGAAACCCAGACTAAATGAGTGGCAAATACTCCTGTTCAGTCCAGTAGCTGTGAGGACCGAGTACTTGTATCTACATTGGAAATGTTTCTTTTACTCTGATTAAAAGCTGACACAAGGGCAGGAGATGCTGATTTGCTTGGAGAAGGACTATGACAGTGAATGATGCTTAGCAAAGACCCTTCAGTGTCTGTGTAGCCAGCCCTGTGAATTAAAGCAAGGTCAAAGCTTCCCTTCCTATAGCCTTGTTAAAGGCTGTGAGCTCCTGGGAGGCCCTCAGGTGTGAAGCACCTGATCCCCACTGGTGAGCGCTGCCTTTCCACATCATTTTAACTGTGCCGAGCCCTGGAAATGGTGTCAGAAAGCTGAGAAAAGGATCCCAAGGATCTCTGGTGCTGCCTTTGGTCACCGAAGTCTCTCCAGCTCCTGAGTCAAGAGCCCTTCTGCTCTGCTGGTGGCAGAAAGCCCCATCTGTAACCACAGATAAACCCCGGCTGCTCGCTTCTCTGCCAGGCTGATTACAGAGTGCTGTGACCTCCCTGGGGTAACTGCGTGCTGGCAGCGGGGCGGGGGAGAGGGCTCCGGCGGGGCTGCCTGGGATGTCAGCACTCGGATCACCGACAGCACTTCAATGGGCTTTGGTTTGGTGTGACCGTGACGCCAGCGCTAAGCCGGCTGCGCGTCTAACACGTGCTTTCTGGTGTGCAGGTGAGCGATGGGATAGAACGGTGCTGCTGGCGCACGGACCGCGCGCAGAGCCTCCCTCTCCACCATGCAGAGCAACTGCTCCCTGGTCGTCACCCCCAGAGGAAGCCTCCAAGTGCTCTACGCAGCCCTGACAAACGCATCGGCCGCGGCGCGCTCCCCCGCTCCCTGCCCGCTCACCTCTTCATGGTACCAGTTTTCCCTCATTCCAGCGCTCTTCTCCGTGGTCTTGGCGCTGGGGGTGGTTGGCAACAGCGTGGTGGTTGTGGTGCTTTGTCGGCACAGCGGCCCCAAAACAGTCGCCAACATCTACATTCTCAACCTGGCCGTGGCAGACCTGCTGTGCCTCGCCACCCTTCCCTTCTGGGCTACCTACTATGCACAGGGCTACAACTGGCTCTTTGGGTCACTCATGTGCAAGATCTCCAGCTCTGTGCTGTGCTTGAACATGTTTGCAAGTATATTTTTCATCACCTGCATGAGCGTGGACCGGTACCACGCTATTGTCCATCCTATGCACTCTCAAAGGAGAACTCTGCAGAAAGCTTATTTCACAGCACTGCTTGTGTGGGGCCTCGCCTGTTTGTCCTCCCTCCCAACCTTTTATTTCCGGGACACCCACTCCATCGAAAGCTTGGGGGTCAATGCTTGCATCATGGCCTTTCCTCAGGAGAGCTACGCACGATGGGCTGTGGCAACAGCCTTCCTGAAGAACGCACTGGGCTTCTTCATCCCCTTGACGGTGATCACCACGTGCTACGTGCGGATCAGGAAGCCCCTGCTCAGAGCACGGGAGTTTGGGAAGAACAAGCAGAAGAGGGACAGAGTCCTCAAGCTGGTGGCTGCTGTCGTCGTGGCCTTCTTGATTTCCTGGCTCCCGTTCCACGTTTTGACGTTTCTGGATGCCTTGGCTCACATGAGCATCATCAGCAGCTGTGCGGTGACAGGGCTCATCGACACAGCGCTGCCGTTCGGCATCTGCATGGCCTTTGCCAACAGCTGCATCAACCCGCTCCTGTACTGCTTCATCGGGAACCAGTTCCAGGAGAAGCTCCACCGCTTGTTCAAGCGAAGGGTTTATCAGTTCAACAGCCACCGGGAGAGCTCTTCCCTGAGGAAAGGGAGCTGCTTCAGAGATGCTGAGACCCCTGTGGGCAGGGAAGGGGAACCCAAGTCCCTGCTGTAGGCATCAGGGCATGATGTGGGTGATGTCGGTGATGCTCCTCTGTCCTGGTCCTCTTGTGCCCATTCATTCACCAGCAGTTTGAAGAATCCCTTTTTCACATGTGGAGATTTATTCTTCCTTCCTTTCCACAAGGAGCACTCCACAGAGGAAGACTCTGGCACATAAATGTTGTTTTAAATACCAGCTTGTGCATGGCTGAGATCAGGCAAGAGTTTAGTGCAACACCAAAAGACAAAACACACCAAAGGACCATTGCACAATAGCTATAATTGTGTAGGTGCTGAGTATTATACCCTAAGCTGGTTTTCTAAAAGAGATTCTCACTAGAGAATGTGTAAATAAATAAAGCAGTGTGGATACCTCTGTATGTATCTGTAAGAAAATATTGTGACCTGTATTTTATATATATATATAATTTTTTTGTATACATGGCTAGGGATGTCATAAGTAAAATGCATCAAAGGTACCTCCTGCTTGCCTAGGCCTGGGATCATGAGGACACGGTTCTGCAACCTGCAGGAGGCAGGTGCATATTCCTGGGGGAAGTACAGCCACTTGCATGCCTTTCTACCCTTCTCCTAGCAGGTGACAGGTTCCCAGGCCAGATGGTTTGTGCTTTGACCCAGTGTGGTCACTTCTGGCAGTGATGCCCTGATGTGCGGAGTCCCACCGCCACGTGGGCACGCTGAGTCCCACCGCAGCCTCTGGGGAAGGTTCTTGCTGATTATCTGCCCTTCTTGCATCTCTAACATCGATTGCCACTGTAATTCCAGGGTACTGCGTACAGAAACCCTGGGTCACTCTGTCTTAACACCCAAGCAAAACCACGGTGTGACTCCCAAGGCTTACCCACAGCTCAGTGTGGCCGTTCACTCATTTGTAAGTAAAAGAAAAAGGGGGTAAGAAAAGTATTGGGCAAATCCTGGTTCTGGTTTGAGCATTTGAAGTTTTCTTTTTGCTGGAGAACCTTTCATATTTGATAGGCTCAGTGGCCAGCGGGCTGTCCTCAGGCTGGGTGACTGAATGATCTTTAGCTTCAAGGGATTGTCTGCATCCCTTGCAGCTTGCAGTAGCAGGTTTGGGTCCATGGGTCAGAAATTATACCTGTGGGTTGGGAAAACAGGAGTTGTGGCCTCCTTGGAAGTGCCAACACCGGCTGGTGCCTGGAAGCCGAGGGAACCCGGTGCAGGAGCCATCCATCACTGTGACGGTGGGGGTTAGTTCCTTCACGGAAAATGGGATGATGCAGGAGAAGTGCCAGTCTCAGAGTGATGTGGGATGAAAAGTTTGTGCAGAACTTGGCAAAATGGGGCCTGACCACGGATAGCCCCTGATCGCCGCCCTGGTCTGGGGTATTCTGTAACGGGGTATGTAGCTTGTCCCAGAAAGTGGAAGAGGAGCCATTAAAGCCTCTCCCTTGGAATGCTTGTGTTGAAAATGTTCCCAGGAGCCAAGAGTGTCTGGGGAGTTGGACGGGTCTGGAAGGACAAACTGGTAATTGCTTAGCAATGAGCACAGCAATGCAGTCGTGCTCCAGCAGAACAAACCATCCCAGCACGAAAACCACCTGGTGCACAAAGTGCCAGCCTCGGAGCAGTAATGAGGGGTTGTGGAGGCTTTGCTGCAGGGCAGGGCAGTGATGAACGCATGGGGCTTGGAACTTAATGATCTCAAGGTCCTTTCCAGCCCTCACTGTTCTATGATTACCTGCTACCTTTGTAGTCTCAAAAACAAAAGCTGAACTGCTCCATCTGCCCCGGTGGTACCCGGGCTTCAGCTGCACCCACCCGCAGCGTGAGCAGGGACTGGGTTTTCTTCTCATCACTTTGGACTAGCTGCTCTAGTGGAAGGGGTCCCATGGGCTGGGACTGGAGGAGCTTTAAGATTCCTCCCAACTCAAACCATGCTGGGATTCCATGGTTCTATGAAAAAGAGGATGAAGCCTTCCCAAGGAGTGAGCAGCACGGCAGCATCTCCCAGTGCTGCGGCTGCAGGGCAGGGAGGAGTGACCATGGGCAGGGCTGCAGCAGCCGCTGCACTCGTGTTGCCCTCCTGGAAACAGGGACACAAAAAAAGAACATTCAGTGGGAGGCAAATTCCTTCTTTCCAAGCGCAGGTTCAAAAGCAGCCTCCCCCTGGGTCACATTCTGCAGGAGGGACCAACCAGGCGGCCCCCGGGGCCGCAGTGTGACATTTGTGTTTGCCAGACCTGCCTTGTGCCTCCCTTGGGTCGTGGATGTGAGCAGTGCTGTCAAACAAACATCCGAACGCCTGTCTGGAGAGGAACCTGAGACGGGGGAGGTCTCGCATCAAGGGGGTTGCTTTATTTTTGGAGCAGATTGCGTAACGTTGAGCTCTGTGAATTTCCCCTGCCCTGCCAGAGCTTCTCATGGGAGTTTTCAGGAATTTTTAATGGAAAAGGTTGCTCCGAGCCCCTGTGTCCAACCTGGCCTTGAGCACTGCCAGGGATGGGGCAGCCACAGCTTCTCTGGGCACCCTGTGCCAGCGCCTCAGCACCCTCACAGGGAAGAGCTTCTGCCTAAGAGCTCAGCTCAGTCTCCCCTCTGGCAGGTTAAAGCCATTCCCCTTGGCCTGTCCCTCCATCCCTTGTCCCAGGCCCCTCTCCAGGTTTCCTGCAGCCCCTTCAGGCACTGGAGCTGCTCTCAGGTCTCCCCTTCAGGAGCCTTCTCTTCTCCAGGCTGCCCCAGCCCAGCTCTCCCAGCCTGGCTCCAGAGCAGAGCTGCTCCAGCCCTCGCAGCAGCTCCATGGCTGGGAGATGGGATTGTTTCCTGCAAGGATCAGTCAGTCTCTGTCATATTTACACAGCAAATCCCATTTGCTGCTTCCTTTTCTGTCTGTAGCTGATCGCTCTCAGCTTAAGAGAACAGTGGGAAGAATCTCAGTCCAAAGTGAGCATCCCACATGTGTCCCTGAGCTGACTTGAGCACAGGATTTCAGCATATGGAGCAAAGTCCCTGGCATTCATTAGCTTGAGCTAGTGCTAGGTGGTGAGCTAAAGGCTTTGTTTGTGTAAGACACGCAGCCAGAAGTGTTTGGTACAGCGCGTTCTCCTTGAGAAGCCAGCACAGCCCGAGCCTGTGCTGGCACCGTGCGCTTGCCCCGCTCCTCAGGCCAGGTTTTGGGCAGCAGTATCATCTTGCCACCCTGCAGCCGCCTGCCCCAGCTTGGCTGCCCCGCACCACACATCCCGAGGTGCCGTGCACAAGGGAATCGCTCACAGCTCCCCCTGGAAACGAGGACTTCTGGATGCTGCCTTGGAGCGGTGCTGGCAGGAGCGCAGGAAACCCAAAGCGTGGGGATTGAGGTGGTTTGGCAGCGATCCCTGCTCCGGCAGCTCCCTGCTCCCATCCCACATCTCCTTCCCTCGCAGGAAAATCACTGCTGGTGTTGGGCAGGGCTGCTCCGTTCAGCAGGAGCCTGGGATGTGCCTTCCTCACGTCTGCTGCCTGCGGGATCCGGCTGCCTACAACAGAGAGGGAATTGTGCTGGGGGCCATGGGCTCTGCTGGGAAGGGGTTGGAAGTCTCTTGTGCCTTTGAATTACCAGGTACCTGTCTACAGAAGGAGCCCAGGCCTGCAGCATCACACATCTGGTCTGGGTACAACGGGCAGCCTTGCTGCTTGGCAGAGCACCCACTGCAGAGCAGGCTGGGGGGCAGTGCTTCCCCGCTTGATGGGCTTCATTGGAATCGAAACAGGAAAGAGAGAAACCCCAAACCCAACAAAAAACCTGAGCCAAAATTGAGATTTGTTTATGGAAAACTGCAGGTTTATGTGTGTATGTAAAGTGAAATACCTAACCCTGTGAGATACCTGCAGCAAACTGCTGCATTCACCTCACCTAGTGAGGTCTGAGATCTTCTCCCACACTGGGACTTCTACATCTATCACTATCTCTTTGCAGTGTTGAGGTGCCCTCAGCTTTGCTGCCATGCAAAAGCAGGGCTGTGGGGTGCTGGGTCCGTGTTTTAATGGGGGCACTGTGGACAATAAGGATGGGAACCAGGGGGGCTTATGTCTTTTCTGCAGGAGAAGCACAGAGGCACCTCCCCACAGCACCTTGGTAAGCCACAAGAGATCCATCCATCCGTCCATCCATTCCTCCATCCATCCGTCCTCCATCCATCCCTCCATCCATCCTCCATCCATCCATCCTCCATCCATCCATCCATCCATCCATCCATCCATCCATCCATCCATCCATCCTCCATCCATCCAATCCATCCATCCATCCATTCATCCATTCATCTTTACATCCATCCATCCATCCATCCATCCATCCATCCATCCATCCATCCATCCTTTCCTTCTCTCCTTCCTTCCCTTCCTTCCCTTACTTCCTCTCTGGGCCCAGGCTGTAATCCTGCACACTTCAGCTATCAGCCCTTACATCTGTCAAAGACCATAAATGGTGGTGTAAGTCCTTCAGTTTCCAAAACCAGCTTTTCCAGCCTTGCTGTCTGCCCCTGGGAGTGTTGTGGGGCAGGAAGCCAGCAGACAATTGCACAGGGCTGGCTAAAATGCTTCTGGACCTTAGTCTTGGACTGGAGAGCCCTGGGAGAGGAGCAAGCCAACATCTCTCCTTGCCTCTTTCAAATGTTTACTTTCCATTTCCTCTTCAGCTGAGGCAGATCTGGGTTTGACTCTATAAGCTCTGGACAGAACTCTGTTAATCTCCAAAACATTTTACAGGGACAAAGCAGAGGGATATGGAAGTGGATGAGGGTCACGACATTAATTTCCCTGCTGTGAGATACACCCGAACTTCTCCCCTCTCCCCCATGATAACCAGTAGCTCTTAGCTGAAGCGAACACAAGGTTGGGAAGCTCCACTCCACAGCACAAGCAGTTGCAGGAAGCCTGGATCCAGGAGGGCGGGTTGGAATTGTAAGTTTAAATGTTGTGTTGTTTCTATAGCAATCAGCAAGACCCAACCCAGTGAAGCAAACAGTGCAAACGTGGCTGGTCCAACAGGGCTGCAAAGGGAACACGACAAGCAGCTGAAATGGGCCAGAGGACAAGGCTGTCCCTAGGAATCACAGTCACCTTGGAACATGCAGGAAACCTTTCTCGCAGGACAGGAAATGGTACAACCCTTAAAAGCATTTAGACAGAGATTTAATGTGTGTATGAGATACAATTGCCATTGAATGATGTGTGAGAGAGCTTGCAGAGACTTAGTGCAATGAAATGGGAAGACACCACATCCATATGACATATCCTTAAGGAAACAGGACCAGAACGTTATTATAGCTGTTCAAACTGTAAGAGTGTCTTCAGCATTCCCTAGGGATGCCTCTGAAGCTCTCTGCCCACACGTAATGCAGCTCATCCATCATGGAAGGAAGTCCATGCACATGAAGGTGTTCTCTGTGCTGAGCTCTGAAATAACTTGGT